AGATCACAAGTAAAATGTTCAATATTTGTTCCATTTCGAGGCTGTTTTACAGAGATAGGCCCCATTTCTAGGGGGGCCTATCTCTGTAAAACAGCCTCGAAATGGAACAAATATTGAACAAACTTATTCATCTGGAGAACTGTAATTTGCTTCTTCTTTTTTGCAGGTTAATATCCGTGGTCCGAAAGAGGACGTTGCTCGAGCTGAGAAAATGTTGATGGCACTGGCGAAAGATCGTGAGTTGTCGAGTTTCGAGGATTCGGTTTCGGCCAAACCTGAATTTCACAGATTTATCATTGGCAGAGGAGGCGCACGCATAAAAAAGGTTTGGGCTTTGCAGAAAGGTTTTCCTTGTAGCTCGATATGAATTTCACAAGTGTATTCTTCAGATCCGTGAATTATATCCGGATGTTCGTGTTTTGTTCCCACGTGAAACGGACACGGAAAGAGAGAAAATTCATCTGGTTGGGAAGAAAGAAGATGTGATGAAAGTGAAAAAACAGCTCGAAGCTATGATTAACGAACTGGTTTGTGCTTTTTTTTTATTTCAAGGGACCCTTCTACCCCTTTTTTTCCGGCCTCTTCTATCCTGTACTAGTTGTGTTTGACGCTCATATGCGTCTTTTTAATGCCAAATTTTTATACTATCTGTCTTTTTAGATGACTTTTGGTTTTACCGCGCTTGTTGCTTCAGAAAGATCAAAGATCACCGCTATTTTCAGAACGAAACGGTTGAAATCAAAATGGACGTTGCGCCCAAACATCATCGCCATTTCATTATGCGTGGCGCTGCGGTGGTCCGTGAAATTCAGGAGCAAAATGGCGGTGTAATTATCTCGTTCCCACGTGCCGGTACAAATGATGCCAAAGTGACACTGAAAGGTAGCAAGCAGTGCGTGGAATGCGCCAAAGCTCGAATCGAGGAGATTGTGGAGGATTTGGTAAGTTTATTTCGGCATTACTGGGCAGAGATTTTTAGGGAAATTGGCATTTTTTACTTTGGAGAAATCCTTTTTTTCTTACTTTTTAGGAAAATCGTCATTTTTTGCTTTGGGAAAGTTGTTTTTTCGTTCACTTTTCAGGGAAATCATGTTTTTTACTTGTTGTTTTCTGTCTTTTTTGACATGTAATTAACTCAGATTACGATTATAGGCACCACATTGAGGATAAGCTTTGGGCAGTGTTATCTTTTATAGTTTTAAAAGCACGAAACTGAGTTTGATTGTTGTTGCTGTTGCAGGAATCACAGTTGACGCTGAAACTTGAGATTCCAGCGGAACATCATCGTGCTTTACTGTCAAATCGTGGACAAAAAATTCAGGATCTTCAAGCGAAGTATAATGTTTTGATCAAATTCCCAGACCGAAGATTACGAAGTAAGCAGCTTTGAGCTTTATTAAATCTTTGTTACAGATCCAGGCGTAATGTTAAGATTAAAGGATGCTCTTCCTGTTTTCCTGTGATAGCTATTTCACGCCCAACCGTTCATGATGAAAGGAAAACTAAGCCAACGAAGCACAAGTACCTCCTTTTGTCATTTGAAATTCTCTTATTTTAGCAGAGAATACCTTCAATGGAATGGAAAAAAGTGCCGATGGTGGGCCATCGCCGCTTGATATTGTCACAATCAGTGGTCGAGATGTACGTTGCAAAGAAGCTGCTGAAGCGCTGAAAGCCCTGGTACCGGTCACAACAACGGTTTGCTTTTTCCCCCACGCGCTATTGTTTCCACTTTTTTCAGTATTGCGATTTATCCTCACAATTTCCTCGTGATTTTCGCGATTTT